GAATAGGAATCAAGTTTCGTTCTTTGATACGTGGATACTTTCTTTTTCCATCAACATTGGTTTAAGAGACATGTCTTTTCTCTGATGAATGTTTTTGTCACATTTGAATATCACGTGTGTGTGGCTGGGTAGGTTTATTTCTGAGCCCTCTATTTTTAACATGGGTTGATGTGTCTTTTTGTGGCAGTACCACATTTCTTCTATTTGTTTGATTTTAAAATTATTCTTACTGTGCCTCTATAGTGTGATTTGAAGTTAGGTGTTTTGATACGTTTAGCTTCACTGTTTTTGCTCAAGATGGCTTTGGTTATTTACCATCTTTTGTGGTTTTGGCATAAATTTTAGGACTGTTTTGTGTGTGTGTATGTGTGTGTGTGTGTGTGTGTGTGTGTGTGTGTGTGTGAATGTGTGTGTGTCTTTGAAAAATGTCACAGGGCTTCATTGAGAACATAGATCACTTTAAGTAACACAGTCACTTTCACAAGATTGATTCTGCTGATCTTTTCCCATCTCTTAAGGTACTCTCCAAGCCCTTTGATGTTTTAAAATGTTCATTGTAGGGATTCTTCATTCTCTGATTTTTTTTGTTGTTGTTGTTGTTGTTGTTGTTGTTGCTTTGAGACTGTGTAGATGAGATTGTTTTCATACTTCTTTCTTGCATATTCATTTTTAATATATAGAAAAAGTACTAATTAAAATATACATCTTCATTTATTCTTTGAGAAATTAATGTGTACAGTATACTTTAATAAAAATCCATTCCCTATTCTCTCTTTCAACTCTTCCTGGAGCTCCCATCCCATAATGTCTATCTCCAAAATTAATGTCAGTTTTTAAAAACCCCAATGAGCTCAGTTAGTGCTGTCCATATGTGCAAGGTATAGATCTATATAGGTATAAGTATACAATATTCAGGTATAGAGCAGTATATATCTGCAAGAGCATGGGCAATCTACCAAGGGTCACATCTCTGAAGAAAAGTGACTCTCTCTCCCTTAGTAGCCATCACGTATCAATAGCTCGCCAGATAAGAATGGGTTACTGTGTGCCCATCCCTCATCCATACTAGAATGTTGACTGTCTTGTCCTTGTGCAGATCTTATGCAGGTAACCACATCTTCAGTGAAGTCATGAGTGCAGTAGCCCTGCCATGTCCAGAAGACACTGATCTTCCAAACCTTTGGCTCTTACAAACTTTCTGCTACTTCTTCTGTGATATTCTCTGACCTTGGTAAGAGAGGGTAATATAGATGTCTATTTATGGCTGAGCACCCCATGGTCCTGTAGTTTCTGTACTTTTACCAGTTATGAATCTTTGTATTAACTGCTATCCATTACAAAAAGAAGCTTCTCTGATGATGGCTCAGAGATACACTAATTTAGGGGAAAAGATAAATATTTAGAAGACATTTTGAAAGTATATCAATTTAGCAAAATAATAGCGGTAGGTTTCCCCCTACCTATGAGACACTAGACATTGGTTCCTGGCTTTACAGAACCAGAAATGAGTTCCTTTTTGTGTAGTGGGCCTTACATCAAAAATTTTTAAATTAATTGATTGCCCATAAAACATTTATACCATTATTACATCAATGAAGCTACTAATTATTGGACATTGGTTTTGTATTTTGCTATTTCACCAAACATATTGCTCAAGTGTAAAGGTTTTCCAGTGGAGACTTTAGGATCTTCAATACAGGATCATGCTTTTGTAGTACAAAATAATAATAATAATAAAATAATAATTTGATTTCTTTTTTTAATTTGTATGGCTTTTTTCCCTTTTTCTTGCCTTATTGCTCTGACTAAGACTTCAAGCACTATGTTAAATAAGAGTGAAGAGAATGAATATCTTAGTTTTGTTCCTAGTTTTGAGGAAGTCCTTTAACTTTTTTCCCCATTTCAGTTAGCTATAGGCTTGTTGTATGCTGCCTTTATTATGTAGCTGTATGGCCATATTACATCTAGTTGTTTCAGGGCTTTTACCATAAAGAGATGTTGAATTTCATCAAAAGTGGTTTTTTTCATTCATTGAAATGATCATATGAATTCTGTTCATGATTTTGTTGAAGTGAAGTATTGTGTTTATAGGTTTGCATATGTTGAATCTTCTTGGATCCTTGGAATAAAACCATGTATTTTATTAAAGTTATTTTTAAAAATCTGCTTTTATTAAAGGAATTGGTGTGTAATTTTCTTTTTTGTTGTTTTGTCCTTCCCCAGTTTTGGAATCAAGGTAATAATGACTGAATAAAAAATTGAGTTTGGAATCCTCTCTCTCTCTTTTGTTTTATAGAATATTTTCTTTATAAAATATAAGATTGTTTCTTTTTTCCATTTATTAATATTTGTTTTATGAGCTAAAAGAATAATCTTTTCTAAAAATGTTCTTTGCCATATTTTGATCAGATACACTCATTACCTTCTCTTATATACTCCCTACTCCTGCTGAACCTTCTTCTTCTTTACACTAAATGCTCCTCCTTCTTTCATGTCTTTATGTGTGTGTGTAGCTCATGGAGGTTTCTAGGGTTGATTTCATGAGAATGAATCAGGGGTGATTTGCTGAAGCCTGAGTGCTTAACCAGTTGCCACACCACTAAAGAAAATTATTCCCATTCCACACCAGTAGCCATATACTGCTACTAGATCCTGGGGGGTATCCAGGCCCCTCCCCATCTATGATAGAACATTGCTGGGCTCAATATTGTGTAGGTAATCACAGCTTCTATGAGTTCATGAGTGCAGTAGACATGCCATGTTCAGGAGACAGCATTTTATAGTACTTTCTCATCCTCCAGCCCTTACACTCTTTCTCTTGCTTCATCTTTCATGTTCTCTAACCCTTGAAAGATATGTGGTATGTGTGTGTGTGTGTACGTATGAACTCATGTGCATGTGAGTTTGGTGTGTGTGTGTGTGTGTGTGTATGAATACATATAGAGGCCAGATAAGCACACTGAGAAGTCTATTACTCCTAACCATTTTATCCCCCTAAGAAAGGGTTTATCATTGAACCTAGAGCTAGGTAAGTGGCTGACAAACCCAGAAATACTCCTGTTTTCTACGTACTCTCTAATTGTGCTGGAGTTTTAGATACTGACTTTTTTATATAAATTCTGAGGATTTCAACTTGGGTCCTTATGGTTTTGTAAAATATGGCCTATCTATGGTCTAACCTATCTTATCAGTTCTGTTCTCAGCATTTTGACCAATTATGAGTTTATATATTCACTACCACTTACAGTAAAAAGCTATTTCCTGATCAAAACTCACATCATCATTAATCTGTGGTTAGAAGGCAATTTGATAACATCTATTTAACAAAATAACAGTAATAGAATGTATATCCTCCCTAGTCATAGGTTTTGACCAGGTTACAGTACTAAACAAGAGTTCCCTCTTGTGGAGCAAGTCTCCAACCCAATCACGAATCACTTATTTATTCATGTAACAATCTAGTCACTATTGTACCAGTAGTCATATCTTGCCTTTCAGATCAGTATTGGAGCATAGAGGATCATAATCTTAGCAAGACTCCTACTGATATTTTTCCCCCACTGAAAAATGTTCTCCAATAAGAAGCTTCCAGCTCTGTTCTAGGTTTATTTCTCTATGTCCCACAACCAAAGTATATGACATCAGTAAAATCTTACCATTCAGTTCTGATGGAAAACAAGTAACTCTGAAGTTTCTTTGGTTTCCTTCTTTGAAAAGTCAGCTATCTGTAGAAACCACCCCCATTAGATAGGCATGGCTCCCACTTGAGAGATAGGGCCACTCACCCAATCCCAAAATTTTTAACCCAGAAATTTTCCTGTCTAAAGGAAATGCTGGGACAAAAAAAATGAAACAGAGACTTATGGAAAGGCCATCCAGAGACCACCCCACCTAGGGTTTCATCCCATCTGTAGACACAAAACCCCAATACTGATTACTGATGCCAAGAAGCACTTGCTGACAGGAGCCTGGTATGGCTATCATCTGAGAGATTCTGCCAGCTCCTGATTAATACAAATGCAAACACTCACAGCCAAACATCCCATCAGACTGAGTCTGGGGACCCCAATGGAAGAGCTAGGAGAAGGACTGAAGGAGTTGAATAGGATTTCAGCCCCATGGGAAGAACAATATCAACTAAATGGGCACCCCAGAGCTCCCAGGGACTAAACCACCAAACAAAGAGTGCACATGGAGGGATCCATGGCTCCAGCTACATATGTAGCAGGAGATGACCTTATCTAGCATTAATGGGAGAGGAGGCCCTTGGTCCTGTGGTGGCTCGATGCCCCAGCATAGAGTGATGCTAGAGCAATGAGTGGAGAATGGATGAGTAGGTGGAAAAGCATCCACATAGAGGCAAAGGGAAGGGGCATAGGAGGTTTGTGGAGGAGAAATCAGGAAGGAGAATATCATTTGAAATGTAAATGAATAAAATGGTTAAGAAAGAAAAAGAAAGAAAGAAAGAAAGGAAGAAAGAAAGAAAGAAAGAAAGAAAGAAGGAAAGAAAGAGAGAAGGAAAGAAAGAGAGAACTGGCAGCTACTTTTGTAGTTTGTGTGTAATTTGGCACTTGTATCTTGCAAACAGTGAAATTCTGATATTCTTTCTCTGTCCTTTACTCTTGGCATTTTAATTATGATATAATGTAGAAAATGTATATTCTGTCTATCAGAGAAACAACACCAAAGTGAACAAGTTGCAGAAATATGGCAAAACTTAACTAAACTAAAATCAAACTAGTACTTAGTAAATAACTGGAAAAAAGTGCCAAAGAGATAGAATAAATGATTAATGAAGGTAAAAATAAGAAGAAGAAAAAATAAGGGAAGAGTTTGGGAAAGGTAAAGTTGAAGCAAAGATAAAGAGAAAAAGTTCAAAAGAGATTGAAAATTATGTGTGGGAGAGAAAGAGAGCAAGAAAAAAATCTAGTTATAAAATAAATGGAAGGTTTGCTAATAAAATTATATAAAGATTAAAAGAGAAATGAAAAAAAGAAAGACCTGCTCCTAGAGTCATTGATAGTGTCTCTGCTATGTCACATGTTATATCAGTAGGTGGCAGAGAAGAGAAAGGGCATGTCTACACTCAGTATTCTGATCTATGAACATCTGAATGATTAGTAGCCTAGCATTCCCTGAAAAAAAGTAAGCCTGAAATGACCACCAGTCTGGTTTGTGCCAGGGGACCCAGACAAGGAGTTAGGCTGAAATGACCAGTCTGGTACAGTGCAGGTCAGGATGGGCTCACAGAATGGGTAGCAAGCTTAAGACTAAAGGAACCTTGCCAGATCCATGAAACCCAGTGAAGGGAGCCTGAGACAGATGCATGGGACCACTCAGGCAAACTGGTGATAAGCTAGCCCAAGAGGACCACCAGAACTGCACCATGGGACCTCTACAAGGTGCTAGCCTGAGATGACCTCCTGCCTGCCACACAAGCCTGGGGTGGTAAAACATACCCAAGTGCTCAGCCCAAGCTGATCAGCCTCAATTTGAAGAGGGGTTCCTGAAGAAGGGGTGTTTGGGAGAGGTGAAAAAATGACTTGAAGTCAATCGTGGGTACAAACTGACAACTGTGTTTTGCTTGAACTGGTTCTCTAGACAGCTGTGTAGATAGCTCAGCTCTTTCAGACCAAAGCCCAGTCTTTTGTTTGCATATAAGTTCAGTTGTTTACCCAGATTCTCTTTTTATTATCCCACAAATCAGTATTTTATGTCCTTTGCCCCTTGATTCTTAGGAAGAGACAGCAAGTACATTTTTTGACATAGCAAATAAACTCAGATATCTGCCTGTCTTTGTAAGCACAAACAATAAGTTTACCTGGATAGAATTTCATCCTGAGATTACCATTCCCATCAAGACTGGACCTGAACTTACTTTGTCCCAGGCTGAACTTGAACTCAGGAATCTGCCTGCCTTTGTAGCACAGACAATAAACTAGCTGGGTGGGATCTAGCTCTGAGATCACCGTTTCTACCACAGCTGGATCTAAATTTGCTTTTTCACAGTCTGACTTTTAATCAGAAATCTGCTTGCCTTGTATCTTTCTGATAAGCTGGCTCATTAGTGCAGCTGCCTTTGCTCTTTTAGGTCTATGAAGCCCCTCATACAACTTATATTGCATCCTTTTATTTTGCAGCTTTCAGGCCCAGATACAGGGCTTTGAATTGACCCACTCCAACATCTAGCCGTGTCAATGTAGTGCATGAAAAGGGCCAGTCCTACATATCCAAAACTAAAAGATCTCTATGATACAGGGTCATAATAGAATTTCTGAGAGGAATCTCAGTGTGGTTCTAGGATTGATAGAGTAATAGAATCCAGAGACCTTGTATCAGATCAATGAGTCATTGCAATGAACATTTGCAAGCAAATGAGTGTGGACAAAGGTGTATACTGTGGGACACACTGTGACACACTATAGCTTCCACAATGAGATTTTTTTCTTTGTTTGGGGAAAGGCTACAAAGGTGGAGTATGAGTTTGAGGGCAAGGAGAGATGAGAAACTCACACAGAACCAATAAAAGATTTTTGTGTTTTCCTTTTTTTAAATGAAAGATTTCAAAAACTAAAATAAAAGCAATGCTAAGAAATACAGTAAAGTAACAGACAAACAAGAGAGAAAGAAGAAGAAAGAAGAAGAGTAGAGATAAGAGAAAGAGAAGATGAAGAAGAAGAGGAAGAGGAGGAAGAAGAGGAGGAGGAGGAGGAAGAAGGAGGAGGAGGAGAAGAAGAAGAAGACAACTGCTGGAGAAGCTCTTCTTCAGATTCTCTAATATTGAATATTAGAATACCAGATCTGAAAGGATTACTGAGCAATACAAAGGATCTATTGCATATTTCTTAACAAAACCCATAAAAGCCAGGAGAGTGTGAGACAGTGTATTGTAAGTGCTGAAAGACAATGATTGATAATCTAATTACTACATGTAACAAATCCATATGTGATAAACAAATGAGAAAAAATGTCCATGATAAAAACCAAGCCAAAGAAATTCATGACAGTAGAACAGTCCTATGGGATCTTTCAGACAGAAGAGAAATGTAAACATAGGGAGGAGTAAACCATACTATTGACTATTAAGAAAGAGGAAAACACTAGAAACTACAAATTCAACAAAATGACAGGAATTAGCACATATTTTTTCAGTATTGATTTTGAAAACTATGAGACTAAATTTTCCAATCAAAAGGTAGCAGACTACATTAGAAAACAACAACAACAACAAAGGACTCTGCCTATTAGTTTCTTCTAAGAAATACACTAAGCATTAAAAACAAATGGAACCTTTGGGTGAAAAGGATGGAAAAAAGTACTCAAAGCAAAGAGAATTAGAAAACAAGTGGGAGAAGTTGTTCTAATAGCTGGCAAAATAGACTTTAAAACAGAATAATTCAGAAGAGATAAGGTAGTTTAATTCAAATGCAACAGTATTGAGTGGTGAGTTATGTCAATAGCCCACTTTAACCAAAACATAGATCCTCTCAACCAAATAAATAAATAGATAATAAAGAGATAAAAAGCTGAACAGAGCATCATAGATCACATGTATCTAAGAGACATCTATAGAGCATTCCATCCAAACACTGCAAAGTACAAAATTATTTCAGTGGCCCATCAAGATTTCTTTAAAACACATCATGTAATAGGATACAAAGCAAGTCTTAACAAAGATGGATCAATTGAAATAATTTATTGCATTCAATCTGACTACAGGGAGTAAAGCTACAGAAATGTATGACATACACAATCTCATGAAGACTGAACAATACACTATTGAATAATGGATGGGCCATTGAAGGAAATTAAGAAGATTTATAAAGTTCCAGAACTGCATTAAAATAAAAACACAATGCAACAGAAACTGTAGAATGGAAACATTACTAGAAGAGACAGTCATAGCTGTAAATGACTATGTTAAAATTTCAAAGAGATTTTAAAATAAATAACTTAAAATACATGTGGACTCTTAGGGGAAAAAAGAACAAGCTAAACCTCAAATAAGTAAAAGAGAAGAAATTACCAAAATCAAGAAGAAATCAATGAAATGGAGATGAAAAAATTACAAAGAATAAACAAAACCAAAATTTGGTTCTTTGAAAAGGAAAACAAGACAAAGATTTTAGCTAAACCAACCAAAAAAATAAAAAGAGAACCAAATTTCCCAATTAATAAAATGATAAGATGGAAACGGAGACATTACAACATATGCCAATGGAATTCATGAAACCACTGGAGCATTTCATTTTTGTACACATTTAAGTTTATATGTCTATAAGTGTTTTGCCTACATATATAAATATATGTGCACCACATACAAGTCTTGTGCCTATGAAGGCCAGAAAAGAGCATCAAATTGCCTGACATTGGAGTTATAGATGGTTGTGAGCTACCATATGGTTGCTGGGAACTAAACCCAGATTCTCTTCAGGTGCTGAAAGTGCTCTTAACTACTGAGCCATCTCTCTATCCCCAATATTATGAAATTATCTTAAAAATTTATATTCTACTAAATTGGTAAATCTAAAAAAAAAATGAATGAATTTCTAAAATGTTTGACCTACCAAAATTAAACCAAGATGGACAACTTAATGGATATAAAACTGCAAAACTCCTTCTATGAGCTAATGTTACCCAAATACTAATGCAAGATAAAGACATACATAAAAAGAAAATTATACACCAATCTCCTCAATGCATATAAACACAAAAATTCTCAACAACATATTTGCAAACAGAAATTTTAAAAAATATTACCAAAAGATTATTCAGCATGATCAAGTCAGCCTCATTCTACAAACACAGAGATGTTTAAATATGCTAATCAACAAAGGCAATTCTCTATAGGTATAAAAAATCCTTTTAACAAAATCCAACATTCCTTCATGATAAAAGCCTGAAGAAGAGAGAAACTGTGGAGAGAACATAGCTAGGCATAAAGACTATGTATGACAAGCCAACAACCAGTGTTGTTGAAACAAGAGTCACAAACAAGAGTTTGTTTGTAGATGAAATATTTTTAAAACTCAGAAGTCCCTAAAGACTCCACTAGAACACTTTTAGACCTGAGAAAACATGTACACTGAGAACAAACATGCTGAGAAAGTTGCAGTGGAAACTAATGGTTTCTTTGGAAAGTCAGTTGTGTTGGATGGTGCTTTACTGGGGCAGACACATGAAGGAGCATTTTTCTGAAGTGGACACAGATGAAGGAATGCTTTACTAAAGCAAACATGAAAGGACTCATGATGAAGGATTCTTCACTAACAACATGCATGTATTGGTTCACTTTATATTGCATAGCTGAGCACCATTTTTTGTGACTCCATAGTAAGAAACACACCAAAAAACTTCTGATGGTGTTCTGACAGCTCTTGCTGCTTCTACAGACTTGGGCTAATTGTCAGAGTCATGTTGGTGATACAGACTCATGTAGGGTTTTGCGAAGACAGACTCTTGTGCAGAGGTAAGACACAGACAGTGGTGGGAGCTTGTATAGCTAGCTTTGCAATGTTTTTTTGTCTCACATTTTTGTTGACTTTCCCTTCACTGAGACAGGCACAGCAGAGAATTTCTTTTGATGTCCCTGTTGGTCCTAATCACTCCTGTACTGATTTGGCTGAGGCCTGGTTGTATCTGCTAGGCCATGCCACCACTGCTGATTCATGTTCGCTGTCATAACACTACTGAACTGGACTGCTGGTGTATCCCATGAAGTGTTTGTGAGTGGATCGAACTGCCACTGCTGACTCCTGTGAACTGAATTGATGATTTCCTGACAAAGCAGATTGGATTTGCACCAAAGAACAATTTCTAAACAGATTCACTTCCCCCGAATCCTAGTAACCTTTCTTTTCCACTACCACTGGTGGGTGGTGGGTTAGAAGGGAGGTTAAAGCATTTAAGAACCATTACTAAAATTAGATTGAAGAAAAATTTAAGAACACAGAAAGTAATTAGAAAAACAATTGCATTCACAATTTCCTTAAAAAATATGTAGAAATAAACCTAACCAAGGAAGTGAAATGCTTCTGTAATTTAACACTTGAAAACACAGGAGGAAGAAGTGAAGAAGGCACTACAAGATGAAAAGCTTCTATCCTCATGGATTGAAAAAATTAACACCTTGA